AGTGTAATGAGAAAAAACCCATAAAATTGTTCACTTTTTATTTATTGTTTTTTACAATATGGATAATGAGTGACAAGTAATAATAAATTATTTAAAATGATAGAAGTTCTGTTGTCTCCCAGTACATAAACTTAAAAAAAAAAAAAACAGTCCTTAGCGATTAATTTGTACCTAATACAAATTAGTATACTATAAAGTATAAAGAACTATGTATAAGAAGAAATCTCAATAAAATAACTGACACGATTATAAAAAAGTACAGAAAAACCTTCTTATAATTGGTATACTTACTAAATAGGTAGTTGCTACCTGCAATTGGTGATGTGTCTGTGTAGCGATCACCTTAATAATAGCATTTTTTATTTAGATTCAACCTCAAATTCGTTTGCAGATAGTCTGATTATTAATGTTTTGAAATTATTTTATTTAATTAGATGTAATTATTATTTTTATAAGATTCAACGCCTACCAGAACCTTTATTATGGAATTGTATAAAATATTTTAATTAGCTCGGATTCACTTACATTTGTCATTCAATTTACGATATAACAGTAATAAAGTTTTATCTATATGATCATAGTTCAATTTAAAATAATAGGGAAAACGGTATTGAAGAATTAATCTATTAGGTACCTATATATTTTGACAACTCGAAAATGTAATAGTTTAATAATTATAATTTAATTTATTAGAATATTTTTTTTATTGATTTCGAGCTCGATAACTATGGCCATTAGCTATTGTAGGGGTTAAGGAAAGAATAAGTAGGGTTGGTATAAGGTAGGTTGACAACACGTGTATGTGTGGCAAGGTTTTTTCCATCAAGAACACGGATGATCACCCATATGGGAACTATTATAGTGACAGCGGCTTGTGCGTACTGATATCGCGTGACTGCAGCCACAACACCATACATTTAAAARAAATTAAGGTATGGCATGGTAAGTAACAGAAAAAATACGCTAACTTCTCAACAGTAAATAGCACAAATATTAATGTGTACCTACTTAGGTTAAAAATTGGAATACATTTGAGTTATTAGTACAGACAAATCAATAGATATAAGAAAAATATGAAATAGCAAACATAACATTTATTTACCATCGATTGCCRCAAACTTGAACACAGACCGCAATAACAGTAAAATAATATTGGGAAAACGTGACAGATAAAAGAACATTGGAGACGTTTTTTTCCACACAAACAACACATACAAATTGATAAAGCGGTAAAGGTTCAAATAATGAAATTACTGATGACATATGCATATATTTTTAAACAAAAMGGAAATCAGAATTTGTAATAGGAGACAAAATGGTACTTTTAKAACTGATTCTATTTAGTTTTTTTTTCGTTTATAGAGAATTAGATATATACTGCGTCTATATGCTTATTCGATGTCTACCACTGTAACTGTGACTGGGCAATATGCCACACATGACTCACCAACATCAGTTGTTTTTTGATTAATTACGAGTGTGTTAATAATAATGACATATAAAAGGAGATGGTTCGGAAACGGTCCGCACAAATTTATCGTGGATACAATAATTACTCCTTAACATATGCATCCACTCATTGAAGCAAATTCTGTTATCATCTAATTGTATGATTTAATCGAAAAAAAAATCTGTTATTTGATTACTGCTGTAGGACTGGACAAAAACTGAAATACATATTAATGCTTATTTTTTTTTCAACCATTAAAAATAAATTTATAAAATTAAAATAAGAACCTATGTACATCTACAAGCAAGACGTAACAACAGCAGAATCATACAATATTCGACTCGATACGTGTATATAATWTAATGTCTTCATCGATTAAGAGTATCGCCACAAATAATTCGGCACAATAGATGGTTACAATTGAACGTGGATGAATGATATCTCAGACCTCGGACTTGTACATATAGCATATGTGTAACTCAAATGGAAAGTATTGTAAAAAGCAGTAGCGTGACTGGATATAGCAGAAACGTGTAAAGAAATAAGTTATGATTTCTAAATGAGTAATTGATATCTAGAATTCTAGAATGAATACCAACGACATTTTGATATAAGTCTATTAGATAAATAGATGGATTGAAAGAGAGAGAGAGAGAGATAAGCGTACGAGTATATGGTTAAAATAAACTCTAAAACATAATATTTTTTAACAATTGGATACATTTATTGTTGCTACCCTATTGAAAAAATAACGATTATAAAAACTTTGCATTATGTAATTTTAAATGTTGACATTTTGTAATACACAGTAAAAATAAAGAGTTGGCATATTATGTAAGTTATATTTAAAGATATTACTAATTTTTAAATTAAAATATTTAAAATGTA